TTAGTAGTGTGCATTATTTAATCTAATATCAAACTATTATCTTAATATAAAACTATTATAAAAATTATTAAGATAATTTACATTCTTTGGCACAAAGCTTTCAAAACTGATATTCATCTTACACTTCCAGCACATGTCAAATTGTTTGCTAAGTTTTCATAGCTGAATGAATTACCTGGTGTGAATTTAGACTTAAGAATGAACTGACTTGAATTGAGACTTAAGAATGGACGCTGTACTTCCATCTGCCAAATGTCAGGCCAGAGCCCTCTGTGGGCTCCAAGATGGAGCCAAATGGACAAGAGCATTCTGGGAATTGTAGTTCCCCATTTCTCTCAGGGTCACAGTGAATACCTAGGTAAGGGTGGTGGTAATGCTATGCTGACAAGGGACGACGACCCCAGGAGGAAGGGAACAGTTGTGAGGTGGGAGGGACAGGAGAGCATGCACAGGGAGGCCAGCAGCGAGCAGAGCTGGGGGCCCTGAGGGAGCTGACTCCCAGGTAGAGGAGGAACCTCTGATGGGAGCAGGAAAAGCAGAGGAGAAAAGAGAAAGATGAGTCTCTGTGGGTCCCCTAAAATGTTCTAAGGCATCCAAAGTCCAGTGTCATGAGGTGGCCAGGCCTACATCCTGATAACATCTGCCTGAGAAGGTGTATCGTTGTCACTCTGTCCGATCTGGGTGTTAGGAGCTGGACCAGGTGGTGGCTCCTAAGGCTTCAGATACTCTGATCACCCAGAATGTGTGGGCTCAGAGGTCAGGGGAACCCTCTCCCCTGCATGAAAGCTTCTCTGTCCTCTCTGCCTTCCACCCGAACCTCTGCTCTGACACTGACTCACACCTAGTCAGTGTGTTGCTGTTCTGCCCTAGTAGTGTCTCCCATTTGCCAGGGGGCCTTTGGGGTCGGAGGTCCAAGTGATCTGAATCCTGCACCCTTGTGGAAGATGCTCCGCAAACCTGGGTTGAACCAAGCGGGCGGGGAGGCAGAAATGATCTGCAGGCAGCTCTGCTCCTCCACCCAGGCCAAGGCTCTGGACAAAGGGACAAAACTTTATTCAGGGCCTCTTCCCTTTACTTCCCAGGGCCACCAAACTGAAGGAGGGAGGTAACAGATGAACCAGAGGACCCAAAGAGGCTGAGATCAGTCTTCGGCCTGCTGAGGAGCAGCTCCGGCAATACCCGTGTGCGTGGGTGTTGCGGTTGCCGTGATACCAAGGACACTGGGCTGGAGCTTGGGAGGCTCTGAGGAGACCTTGTGTAGAAAGCCGGGCCATCCATTGTGCTGGAGAGGGCCTGCCATGTGAGAACCAGTGCCTGGAGATGTGGAGACCCCGAGGGAGATCTGCATCTGCCAGTGGCTGAGCTCCTCCTTCTAGGCATTAACCCCAGAAATGGGAGCTTCCATGGCCTTTGTGTTCCTGCTTTGCAATGGTGAGATTTTAGGCCAAGGTTGAATTCGTGGTCTAAAACATGTTTAGTCCAAAGGCAAAGCAAACTGAAAATCAAGGTGGAGGTAGATCTAGTCCCCTGGCCCTGCTCAAAGGCATGTCTTTTGCCTTCGTCCCTTCGCCTTCGTCCTCCCCAGTCCTTTGCACCGGTCCCAGCCCAGGCGCACTCTCTTTCTTCCGTCTCAGGGCTGGAGTTCTAGTCTGTCTTTTTTTTTCCCCTGATATTCCATCTTCTCAAGAGATAGGGTTTCCTGTGTGTGACTAATTTTAGGAACATCGGAGCCAGCCCCAAGTACCTAATGAATGAGTTACATAATGGGTCAGGTGTCACACGGTGCTCTGCAGCAGAAGAGCACACTGGGGACAGAAAGTCACCCCCGGAACCCTCTTGAGCCACTCAAAGGCAGAGGGTATTTAGAAACTGTTTTCTTGCCCCACCCCCAGTTTGTGCTTGCAATTCAAGTTTCCAGCACCAGATGGCAGTGTTTCTCCGTTATGCATTGCCCATTGCTAGATGCTAGTTAGAAATGTTCTAAACTCTATCCATTTATTCATTCATCCCACAAGTTTTTTTTTGTTTTTTTTTTTTTTTTTTTGAGTGTTTACAACATGCGGTATGCTTTTCTAGATATTTTTGGAGTAGCAGTGAATCAAACACAAAAACCTGTGGTCTCTGGGAGCTTCACCCTTGCACAGGGAAATGATAAATAAATGAAGAAAACATTTGGTATGTCAGATGATAAGAGGTATTATGAAGAAAAATAAAGAGGACAGAGGAAGGAGGGCAGGGAGGCCTGAGATGGCCGGATCAGGGAAACTGAGATCTGGAAGAGCCAGGGAGGCTGGCAGTGTGTTTCTCTTAGTTTATGTAGGCTGCTCTAACACAGGTCCACACACTGGGTGTCTTGTGAACCACAGAAAAGCTTTTCCCTGACAGTCTTGGAAGTCCAAGATCAAGGTGTCAGCAGATTTAGGGCTCACTTTCTGGTTCATAGACGGCAATTTTCTCTACAGTGAGAAAGACATGACAGCCTCTGGTGCCTTTTGGCAGACAGGGGTTCCTGAGGATTGAACCCTGGGCTTTCACACTAAACTACATTCCCCAGACCTGTTTCTTTTTTTTTTTTTTGGTTTTTCTCCGGTACCAGGAACTGAACTCACGACCTTGCGCTTGCCAGGCAGGCGCTTTGCCGCTGAGCTAAATCCCCAGCCCCTGTTTCATTTTTTACATAAGTTCTCACTAAGTTTTTAAATTGACCAGACTGGGCTCTACCTTGTGATGGATCCTCCTGCCTCAGCCTCCCAGAGTGCTGGGATGACAGGCATGCATCACCACAGCCAGCTCTAATGTGCTATAGCTGCTTTTTCTCTTTGCCTACTCAATAGCTTCCACTTTTAGTAGAGGCCTCCTCTTGGTGAAGTTGTTCTCTCTGTCTGTCTGTCTGTCTCTCTCTTTTCTCTCATAATGGGGATTGAACTCATTGCCTTTGCACCAAACAACATTCCAGTCTTTTCTTCTTCTTCTTCGTTTTTTTTTGTTGTTGTTGTTTGTTTTCTTTATTCTGAGACACGGTCTCTCTAAGTAGCTAAATTGCCCAGACTCAGCTTGAACTTGCCATCCTCCTGCCTCAGCCTTCTAGAGGATTGGGACAGGCATGTACCACCATGTCCGACTGTGAAGGTTCCTGTGGTATCTTTTCATCACTGCCCCACGGGAGCATGTGACCCAGGTGGCCAGTGCCAGAACACAGTCCTCTTGGCTTAGTGGATGGTTCTAGGATTGATCCACAGTGCAACAATAGTCTCGCTGGAGATTTGAGCTATGGATCCTAGGAAGTCTGAGTGAGATGCCGGGAAGACAGATGCTGATGTAGACATCCTGAAGCTGCAGGGGCTGCAGCCCAAGGACACCAGGATGAAATGCTGGCAGGAGAAAGCTGACCGTGGAGGGAAGGAGGTCAAAGAACCAGGGGATCGCACGCCACCACATCACGCCATTCTCCCCAAAGCCAGAAAACCTGTTGTCCCAGTTATGAGAGCCAATTGGTTATCTTTTTACAATATTGATCGGATTTTACTTCATGTCACTAAGAGGACAGAGTTTGATGAATGAGTAATCACTGAACAAACAGTTATGGAGACTTCCTGCTCTTGTGCTGCGCCCCCAAGCTGGCAGCAAGTGGTGATCCAGTTAGAGCTGAGCCCTCGGACCCGCCTTTCCTCTGCACGTGCACGTGGTGGCGGGTTTGGTGTCTGGATGAGAAGCTCGGTTTCCTTCTGTCCACTTTCTAGGTTGCAAGCAGATCAGCTAGAGGAAGAAATACTCGCCGTTCCCTTCACCCTTCTGGAGAGCTTGGCGTTTGAGTTCTCAGGGTTTGCACGCTCCTTACCTCAGGAGGAAAGGAAGAGTCTGGGGTCTGTTTCTGACAGGCGAGGGTGGGCTGCTGTGTGACTTGGAAGACCTATGTGGGGGGCAGTAGACAGGGTCAGGGGACAGGCATGGCCTTTTGGGCTTGTGAGGACATGTGGGGTGGTCTGTGGGGCCAGGGAAACAGGCACCAGAGCTCTGTCCCGGCAGAGCTGCTGAGGGGCGGCGGCCTGGATGGTGGCAGAGCTACCCTATTGCCTTTGACAACCGGGCTCCAGGTGCTGAGACTCAGGAACCTTGAGGAAGTTCCCTAAGTCAAGCCTGCCTCCGAGTAGAGCTAAGCTGTCTGCGTGGTCACGTGGGCAGTGCCAGCACCAACCAGGAATTGACAGTTCGATCCCTCCGATCTGCTTGCATGGGTTGGCCAAACCCTGGGTCCTTTCATAACCTGCTTCATCCACTTTCTATGGCCTTGACAAATGACAGTGTCTTTGGTTGCACTGCCATACCTGCCTTGATGTCTCAAATCAATTAAAAAAGTTTACCCTTCATGGTCACTTTGGCTTTGGGGAAGGACAGGAAGTCACATAATGTCAGATCCAGTGAATGAGGCAGATGAGGCCCAAGCCTGCTTTTATGATGAATGGCATTCAACATCATGCACTGTATTTTTGAACAGACCTCATTAAGATGCTCACTAAAGTGGACTTCCAGAACTGTTTCAGGAAGTAGCCATGAAGATGGGAGTATTTTGAGGGGGATTAATAGCAATGTGTCTTTTATTAATAGCAATGTGTAAATTTTAAAATTTAAATATTCATATTATGTTTGGATCATACCTATATAATTACAAACTGTTATAAACAATGAAGAGAAATTACTGGGCTCTATGGATCTGTATTGTGAGAGTATTTAGTTCCAGAGGGAGTAAACTCTTCTTTTTTTCTCATTGCAGCCAGGGACTTGCTCTAGAAAATCTCCTCAGATGCAGTTTAGTCTTAAGTTGGTTGGATGGAGTTGGGGTGGGGGGTTTTCTTATGTTCCTGGAAATTTTTTTTTTTAACAGGAAAAAGCTGTAATTAGAAAGTAAGAGAAAATGGTTAGGGACTTTAGCTTGCAGAGCTGACAAAGATCAGGCCAGCCTTTAACAAAGGAGAATAAACAAAATAGGAAAGGACTCCAGCTTGAGCAACTTGGGAGGCCACACTCTGATGAAGGGGATCAGACTGGCCCTTGGGATTTATTTTTTATCAAGATCAACGGTAAGAGTTGCTGATCCCATGCAGAAGTTTCAGGCCCTCTTGACTGCATTGTTCAACACCCTACAGGAAGAGAGCAGAACAGATCTTAAGCAAGACTGAAAGGTGCCCTGGCTACAAGTCTACCTCTGAACCAATCAGCTGGCCAGGAAGGTTGAATTCTGGGAATGACCGGTCTGGATGATCGCCTTCAATCCCTACTACAACCTCACAGGATAGCTATCACAACCCCCCATTTTGCAAGTGAGCAACTGACATGGAAATCAGTTAATTTACTTGTTTGGAATTGTGATGGACAGTCTCACCAAAGTTAACATCAAGTTGTAGAGAGTAAGGGTGGGGTAGCTTCTGACACAGAGTTTTGTTGTTGTTTGTTTTGTTTTGTTTTGAAGTCTCTGATCAGATCAGAAGAGCAGAGGAAGAGAGCCCTTTCTACCTTGACCATCACTCTACATCCTGACTCTGGAAAAATCTTACGATGTGATATCTGGAGCTATAGCATCCATCATGTAGCCATAAGGGAAAGATGGAGAAAACTGAGAGATGCTGGCCTCTTGGAGTTGTAAAGTCAATTGGAGAACTGCCTACCTGAAGCCTTCTTAGTAAGCTACTAGTAGCTTTTTTCATAGTTTAATTCCATTAGAGTGTCTGTTACTTACAGAAATACACACAGACTTTGTTGTAGGCCCTGTGAAGGTTGGTGAGCAGATGTCATCCTCCAAGTAGAGATGAAACCCAGAGAGGTTGGCCTGAGGAGTCCTGCTGTGGAAGGACAAGCTATCCCAGGCAGCGGCTGAGCAAAGCATGGGCATGACTACGGATAAGGAGGGAATGGCCTTGGGTGGGGATGGGGCAGTCTGGACACCAGCTAGGTTCTCACAGAGAATATCTGAGGGGACCGAGTCTGGCCAGAGAGCATGCATGCAAACTTGGAGGCCAAAGAACAAAGGGCAGAGGGCCTTCCAGCAGGGACTTCCTGTGGCTGCTGACAGAGCGCCTGCAGGAAGGAAGGAAAGGCAGTGGCTGGGATTTAGCTCAGACTACAAGCACCTAAATTTAGATCAGACATCCAGGAAGCTCTAGGAAATCCATAGCAATGGTCCGTCACTCTGCAAGGCTTTGTCCTGTACAGGCACATCCAGCTGCAGTTCCTTGTTTAGGCCCAGTCGTCCTTTGAGGTAGGTGGGGTTGAGAAAACCCACTACAGAAGGAAACAAAGGCCTAGAGCCACCTGGTGGAGCAAAGGCAAGAACCCTGGTCTTAGCTTCCCCCAGTCTAGCTGGAGTGCTGGCTCACTAAGGAAGAAACAGAGCCTTGGTTTGTTGCCTTTGCCAATTTCCACGGTGTAAATATTCCCACCTTGGCTGAGTTTGCCAGCATTGAACAATTTTCTGGTGAAGCTGCTGCCCTTGAAAAATTGGTTTGTAGGGGCTGGGGATTTAGCTCAGCGGCACAGCGCCTGCCTGGCAAGCACAAGGTCGTGAGTTCGATTCCTGGTACTGGAAAAAAACAAATTGGCTTGTAGGGCCTATGTGAACCCTGATTGCGACTCCCTTCCCACTATGCAGCGGCCACTGGCTCTCATTAGTTGGTGGTGTTCAGGAACGAGGGGCTCTGGCACCTGTGTGGGAGCAGCTTCGGTGACTCCTGGGATGAGGTATTTCTCCTGCAGTGCTCCCTCCCTTCCTTGCTGCAAGGAACTTTCTCCCGGCCAGATCACTCAAGGCAGACACAGCAGAAATGCAGTGGGCACGGGGCAGCCAGTGGGGCGCCATGTTTGCTGCTAATGACTGGTCTCCACAGGCAGCTAAGTTCAAGGCAGGTTTCTCCCCACTCACAGATCCTCACACTGGTCGGAGGCCCTGGAGGGGTGGGGGCCATCACCTACAGATGGACATTTGAAGGGAACGTGCAGTGTCCTGGACAGCCAACTGAGCACAGGCAGTGACACGAGGAACTGGGCAGGCCAATTCCCACATGACCTTCCCCTACCCTGGGAGCCTGAGTTCCAGAAGGTCAGAGGTCAGGGAGTCTCTAGATCTATCTTGGGTGGAACGAGTCCTCTCCTCCGAGCCTCCTCTCCGCTGATCAGCCTCCTTAGCAGGGAACATGGACTCCAGCTCCCAGCTGGAACTGCCAGCAAGAATGTTCTTGTGGTTTTCCTGTTGGAATCGTTTGGGCAGGAATGTTCTCGTGGGTTTCCTGTTGGAATTCCGTGAAAAGCGCTTTCATTCTCCCAGCCTTGGGCCCCTGAAGGTTGAGGGGCACAGGGTCCTGGGGGACTCCTAAGCTCAGCCATCCCTGGCTGCCCACAACCCCCTGGGGCATCTCACCTGGGTGGAAACCTCCTGAGGGAGCGACCCTGCTGCTGCTCCTGGCCCCACAGGGACTTGTGAGCTAAGCCATGATCCTTTCTAGTCAGCTGCTATGAACACAGTGTCCCTGAAGGTGGTCACAGTGAGGAGGTAGGATGGGGTAGTGGTTAGAGGAAGCCACACTGCCTGGGTCTGGAGCCTCTCTACTTACTAGGTAGAGATCCAACCATCCGAAAGTCTGTAAACCTCAGGTTCCTGGTCTGAATGAAAACAAAGCTGTGTCACAGGATAAGTGGATGACTCTCCTCCCTTCTTTCCCTAAGCCTGGACCAAATGCTCGCCACACCCTGGTGCTGTCCGGCCATCCCCCACCTTTGCTCGGCCGTATCTCTCCTCTTCCTTTCCAATGTCTCATCCAGCTCACAGCCTTGTTCTCCCAGGGCTCCTGCTCCTAGCAGCTCCAGCCAGGTGTCAAGGGTCACAGGCAGGTCCTCAGTGGTCCCACCCTTGGCCTCGGCTCCCTGAGCCACCTCCTCTGGAATCTGAAGCAAGCTGAAGGGTTCCTCTGGACCATGGCTCTTTAAGGAGAGAGGCCAGGGAAACTGTCCAGTTGGCAAGTCTCACTTGACCACAGCCTGGCTCCTGGGACAATGGCTCCGTGAGACTCCCCGTGTGTCCCTCAGGAGGGGGTGAGAGACGGACAGCTGTCCCGGACACTTTCCCTGCCCTTCCTCTTCTCATCTCCGTCCCCACATCCTCACTCTCATCCTCCTCATTCCTATCCCAGCCTCTTTCTTCTTCTCTGCACTCCTCTGAGTTCTCTGGACACCGCTCCTCCGGGTTCCTGCAGAACCCAGTCGGCAGATGGAACACAGCCCCCACCTCATTTAGGGAAGAAACTGATGCTCAGAAGAAGTCATGTTAGTACACTTTTTTATAATAATGGAAAAACTTGGGGCTGGGGATTTAGCTCAGTGGCAAAAGCGCCTGCCTGGCATGCGCAAGGTCGTGAGTTCGGTTCCCGGTACCGGAGAAAAACCAAAAAAAAAAAAAAAAAACTTGTGGGAAGAGGAAATATCCTCCCTGGGGTAATGAGCCCGAATTGTGTGACGAGGTGTAGAGTCCAAGTCGCCCACTCCCACCCTGGGCCCTGTCATTGCCCCACAAGGTACCCTCCTTACTAATTTCTTAGGGAACCATCCAGAGACTTCTCCTAGATATTCAAGCAAGCACGGCCAGAGACTGATTCCCCCACTTCCTGCCCAGAGAGTAGCCTGTATGCACAGGTGGGGGTGACTGCCAGGGCACCTTGTAGGAGAAGGTAGAGGCTGCTCTGTGTCCCCAAACGGCTGTGGGTCAGCCCAGTGGGGGAAAGGTGCTGCTGAAGGCTGGTGAGGAAAGGTGAGGTCCCGTCCCCTCTCCTGACTCAGGCTCTCAGTCCCCTCACGGTGACACTGTGGCTGCTTCTGCAGCTGCTGAGAGCAGTCCTTTTCCGGGGCCAGCTTCTGGGGTGGCCAGGATGACGGATGCTCCTCGGGGTCCTGTTTCTTTCTGTTGCGTGTTGGGGGGTGGGGCGTGGGAGGGTGAGAGAGCCGAGGCTTGGCAGGAGACTGGCTCGGCCCTCAGGATCAGGAGCCCTGGAACCCTCAGCAGAGAGGGTCCTCACGTTCTTCAGGGTGTCCTTGACACAGTCAGCAGTAAGGTGCCTTAAGAGGTCAGGCTGGTCTCAAAGCCTATCAGCTTTGGGACAAGTGCGTCCATTAGCTCGGCAAAGTCCCCCCCTGGTCCCTCCACGGGCTCCTCCGCCTGCACCTGCTGCTCACTGTCCCTCCCAACAGCCCAACCCCCGCCCCCAGCACTGGCGATGACGGCATCATTTATTGACCACATGCCATGCACATCGAAGCTGCCATTTATCAAGTCCCCACAGTGTGCCAGGCATTTGCAAAGCTTTTTACACACTGACGCTATGCCAAGGAATCTTTGCAATAGCCAAGGGAGGAAGGTGCTATTATCTCCATTTTCCAAATCCAAAAACTGAGACGTAAAGAGACTCACCAGGATCACGAGACCAGTGTGTGGCTCAGGCTGGCCCCTTGGTGTGGGCCGAGCCAGGTCTCAGAAGTGTGGAAGGAGAGCAGGAAAGGCAGCTTCCCAGTAGATCACTGCGGGTGGGTGTCTAGCTGGTGGCTACAGGACCTCTGTGAGCTCACCGTCAGGGGTGGGCCGTGGTGCTGAGGGAGAGAGGGAGCGCCCTGTCTGTGTTATATTCATCTCTGGGACGCAGTAACCGGTACCCACAACTTAAAGGAGGAGAGATTTAACCTGCTTCATGATTTTGAGGCATTCAGTCCATGGTTGGCTGGTTCCCCTGGAAGAAGATTGTGGTTGAAGGGTAGAGAGGAGCAGGGCTGCTTAGTTCATGGGGGCCAGGAAGAGAGCAGGGGATCAGTGCCAGAAAGGAAATGCCCAGGGACTGAACATAGACCCTAGGGCCTGTGACCCACCCGACACGCCCAGGCCTGTGCTCCACTAATCCCTGGGGCAGATCCACCCTAAACACCATGGTGTCCCTGTGCTCTGGTTTTCCAGCTCTGTCACCCTCCGTCTGTCCTAATGGTCCTGGGCTGGGTGGGGATGTGCAGGGGAAAAGCCCCTACTCCCCTCTCAGCATCTTCCCGTGCCTGGGCCTGTCTGTCTGTATCGCTTCCTCTGCCCTACTCACCGTGCTTCAGTTTCTTTCATCTCTGCTTCTCTGTCTCCACCATTCATCTTCCTCTGTCTCTCGGTGGTGGCCAAGGTCAGGGAATGACCTTGAAGCCCGGGTGGGGTGATGCCCTTACTGCAAACACTCTTGGAAGTGCCGGGGCAGAAAGAATGTGCTGTGCCCGTCGGATTCTTCCAGCCAGAGTCCTGGCTCTGCCCTTGCCACGCGGCCCGCCTGGCTGACACTCACAGAGCCCCCCGCCCCCAAAGGCACCCACTGCGTCAAGCTTCCCAACCCATGGATTTGGGGGTGCGGATGGCTATTGAAAAGCCATTTCTCCCAGGTGTGACCTCTCACAATTTCTGCTGGGGACGTCCCCTTGCGCCATCTCCTGCTCCAGCTGAGGATGCCCCGCTCCCCTCACATCCTCTCTCTGTGTCTGTCTTTCTCTCCCTTCCTCTGCCTGGCTCTGTGTCCTCCCTTTCCAGGCCCTGGACCTGGGAGCCTGTGGTCACGGCTGGCCCCACAGTGTGGCAGGGGGCTGCTTCTCCTCAGGCATGCCAGGGAGAATCCCCCGAGGGGCAGAAGCACCAGCCAGGGAAGAGGTCATCTTTGGACAGTGCTGCTTTTTTCATTTTTCTGAAAGTTGCGAAAATGTGGCTTTGTCTAAGCAAGTTAAAAAAAAAAAAACCCTTCACGCCACCTCCCACAGATGATACTGTTTCTCAGGCCACAGAGCCGCAGTTGGTAGACAAATAACACATTAAAAATAGCCTCGTGTTTCCCAATCTTAGGGCCTCTGGGGGCTACAGGGAGAGGCCTTGGCTGTGTGGCTTTACTGGCCCATTGTTTGGCTGCCCAGGGTGAGGGTGGGCGTGGGGGCTGCTGGGAGTAATTCCCGGTCAGAGAAGGGAGGAGAGTGGCTTCTTGGCCAGGATGAGCAAGATAACGCACACTTGAATGGAGGCGCTGTTTGGTGTTTATTTTTCCTTTCCCAGGCCAAGAAATATAGCACACTCCATTTTGAACTTTCCACCAACCACCCCCCTGCCACCCAGTCTTCTTTTTTGAAAAAAGTGTGCAAGGGAGACTGAGTCTTATATCCATCTGGACTCTGGCCCAGGAGCCTCAACCAAAAAGTTACTTAAGTCATATTTCCATCATCAGCAGATGGCTGTGTATTTATTTCTTAGCAGAGTAAAATCCCAAATGGACTGCAGATATTTGCACGAGTCAGAACTGCTTCCTCCTGGCAGGGTGGGGTGGAGCTTTGATCCTTCTGAGAAAACAGAAATGTTGGCCCGGCCTCGCAGTGATGGTGCATTTGGGGTTTTTAGGACTACCCGAGAACCAGGCCCTGGTGGAGTCCAGGGGAGCCGGGGGCTCAGAAGGGCCACATCCCCGAGGTGGGTACGGGTCTTGGAGGAGCAAGCCGGGTGTGGCTGAGTGATGGGGTAGAAATCGAATCAGGAAGGGTCACTAAGCAGGTGACCGGCCCAGAGTGACCCCCCGGGGGGTGGCAGCCACCGCCTGAACTCTGTGGAACCTGTGTGCGGAGGGAAAGCCAAACTGTGGAAAAGTACCCAGGGAGAAGCTGCCGCTCCTCGACAAAGAGCCCTCCTGTTAGGCCTGTCCTCCGGCCCCCATCTTTCTTTGCATTCTCACCCCCAGGGCGCTGAGACTGGCATGGGGAGAGAGTCCTGGGTCTACGGGCCTGGCTGGGTCAGCCCTCAGGCAGCAGGGGCAGCCCAGATTGGCTGAAGCAGGGCTCCTCCCTGCCACTAGGGGGCGCCACAACTGAGCAGGGAAATCCTCCCAGTTGCTCCTGACCCCCTCCCCAGGGCCACCTCCTGGCTCCCAGGCAGGGAAGGTCTGAGTGAGGATGGTGGGGGCTCTCCAGGCCAGGGGACCTCTTGAGGCCTGTGGGGAACAAACGTAGGGGAGTCATAGAAATCAAGAGAGCTTGAAAGGATGAGTGACAGGAACTTCCTCACTTTTCCCTTGTCTCCATGTTCACTGACATCCAGTGTGCCTTTGCATCGCCCCCTCCCCCTTTCTTAGCTTTTATTTTCTTCTTTTTTGGCTTCAGAGAAGTGCCCCCCAACAGAGCTGATCTCTGTGCTATGAACCGTACGTTCCTGTTGGCATCTAGGGTAGCATTTCCGATGTGTTCCACGACTGTGGGAGGTGAGCTAAGACCTTACGCACGAAAGAGGCAGCACAGGGCAGGGGTGTGCCACTGGGCCACTTCCAGAACTTTCTGGGCCCTCCCAGGCCAGAATTCCCAAGTACCTTAGGCCCGGGGTAGCCCAGAGCCAGATCCAGGCCCGGGGTCTGAGTTCCCTGCGGAGCCTCGGGTGGTAAATTTAGCAGCCCTAAGCACAGAGCTGGGACCCAGTCTGTAGCGCGGTTCTCCCTGGTTCTGTCAGCTCTCTGCTTCCTGGTTGGTCAGCAGGCCCATCCCCAGGCTGCCCCTCCTCTCTCCCCCTCTGCTTGGCCCGGTGCTCTGTTTTCCTCTGAGATTTTCTTTAACCAGAGCCTAGCGCTGGCCACCAGGACCTCTGGCCTGGCCCACCTCGGAGCCTGACCTTGACTCATGATCCTGGGCCCCGACAGGACGTGGTTCACGCCGGTTTAGAAAACTCTGGACGGCAAAGTCACAAACCATCTGCACCTCTTCTTCCGCCCTAGACGTTATTTATGTGTGTAGCTTTGTGTTTGTGGCTAAATGTGGCTTGTGTGAAAGCTGTTAATTAACCCTTTGAGAAATATGCTTCCCAGCAGGGCGGGGACAGGAACTGGGGACATGTTCCTAATCAGGTAGTTAAATGCTGAAAATTTATCCTGCTT